TCTTAACTCTCCTGTCTGCCTGGATGATGAAACGAGCTATTTGTCCACCATCAAGGTGGTAAAAAATAATTTTATGTATAATTATTTTCTTGATTGTTGTTCTGCGCTGTGTCGTTTTGTTGTTGCTGGTAACAATTTGGATTATTGTTGAATGAATGAATGAATGAATGAATGAATGAATGAATGAATGAATGAATGAATGAAACGTGATTGTTTATGACAATTTTACCTTTAAATAATAATGATATTTCAAAAAAAAAATTGTAGATAATTTTTAACACAACATACTAAAAATGTATGTTTTGTTAATACCTTTAAAAAATAATTGTGAAAAAACTGTTTTATATGTGACTTTATTACGTTTAAAAATATTTAAATAATTCTGATGAATCACCAGCTACGATTGTATAATAGAGACATCGTAATAATAAAGCAACAGAGTACATCAAATCGTTCAATTCAATTACGTTACATTACAAACCGCCACACCGCATCACTACTCCATGTTGTTGTATCGCTTTATTAGCTGGCTCTATATTCGGAATGGAACATTATGACGATGAATCACTGCACGGTTGTGAAATGGAACTGCTTACATCAGCGCATGAACTAACTGACATACACTCACATTGTACACATGTGTGTGTGTTTATATATATGTGTGTGTGTGCTTGTATACGTGCGTGTAAGCTTGTATATGTGTGTGTGTGTTTGTATATATATGTGTGTGTACCTAATGAACGTTATAAAAACGCAAGAAAATGCTGTTAAAGCTTTTTTAATGTTATCTACGTAATTTTTTTTATAAATAGAAAGATACTATCCATTTAAAAGTTGCGCGTGTATCTATTTTTAAATTTTTATTTACAAACAAGTCAATGCGTTTCTAGCGCATGTGCGCAAGCGTTTGTTTGCACGTCAGATGTCATGCGTGTGGTCGCATCAGTTTGGTTTATTATTGAAATTCCAACTGATAGGAAGCTGCTGTTGTCCATGTTTAAATATTTACCCAATCAGCAATATGAACATTGCTGCGTTTTATCAACTTCCTGTTTGTGCGGCTGGCCTGTATCGAATCGATATCAGTTGTATCTCTGTAATGTTATCAAGAATGTATCATGTACTTTCATATCATCTCAATATTAACGTCAAATATTGTTCATTTTAGTCTTATGTTCGTGCATTAACTTTGATGAAAATGATTTTACGTAAACTTAAATGTTATTTTAGAAAACTAATGACCAAATGGTGAATGTGGTAGATCTTGTTCATCTCATCACAACAGTCGTAATTTGATTACGGTTTCAACCGCAAAACTTATTTTCATGAAGTCGCAAGTAGCTCAGGAGAGCGACAAATGAGATGAATTTGATTTTACGCTCGAATCCGCAAATTTAAATTGGCTGCTTAATGGCTTGCTGGTTCAACTTAATTGGTTGTTAGGCTCAGATGCTTGACTGAAATTTTCTCGGTCCAATGAATCGGATTGTTGGCTGGTTGGTTGGTCGTTCGGTTGGTTGGTTGGTTTGTTGAATAAATGATTGGTTGGTTGGTTTGTTGGCTGGTTAGTTCCAGTTGGATTTTTTGTTGGATGATCATTTTATTTTAATCATTTGTTGGAATTGTTTGATCAAAATTAAAAACATTTTAGGCTATCGATTGTCGGTTTTTGATACAGTGGATAGATTTGACAGAAAAGCAACAAAATCTGTTGAGTGTATGTGTTTTTCCTGAAATTTTCTGATCATTTGTTTTCATAGTGTGATAACTAACTAAATTTAAATAAGGTTTTTGACTTATGTACGCGAATAATATTATAAATTATAATTAAAATATTATTAATAAATAATAATTTAATAATTCATTAATAATATTTAATATACTATGAAATTATGAAAATTTTATGTGATATTATGAAGTGCTTGTACATTATTGGTCTGGTTTTTCGTTTGAATTGGTTTTATAAGTTTAACTAAATATTGTATTTGTGTTTTTTTTTTGGGAATTATTCACAACTGCTTAATAAATTCAATCCGTCTAACAAATGATTGAAAAAAAGTTTTGTGTGGTTTCGTCTGGTTGTAAAAGCCGTTGAAATGAAACCTCTATTAAGCATTTGCTTCTCATTGCAGTATTATTAAACCGGATTAAACTCATAAATAGGGTCATGAAAAAATATTCAATTATTTAAAAGAACTGAAAACTGTTTAGAGCCAACGGTAAGCATTGTTAGAACGTAAACGTAAAATAGTATTGCATAGAAATAGCATATTCGGAGGTGTACCACAACGCAACACCTGATACAACACCTGATACAACTGACAACACCAACTGAGATAAATGCATAGTAGTTAAGTTTGTGTATGTATGTATGAATGTGAATATATTTGTGTGCATCTATGTGTGTGTGTGTGTCTGTGTTGTGTGTATCTATGTGTGCGTGTGTGTGTGTGTGTTATATTTGTGTGTATCTATGTGTGTCTGTGTGTTTGTGTGTGTAAGTTTTTAAGCGTAAAGGTGTGTGTGTAAGTTTTTAAGCGTAAAGGTGTGTCTGAATGTTTGAGTGTGTGTGTGTGGGTAGGTGTGTGTGTGTGTGGGTAGGTGTGCGTGTGTGTGTATGTGGGTAGGTGTGCGTGTGTGTGTGTGTATGTGTGTGTGTGTGTGTGTGTGTGCGTGTTACAAAAGGTTTAAGAGTTTAAGTTGTATTAATGAATCTGTGGAGGAATCATACTTAGTGACACCGAATATAGTATGACATTAAGTTTTCAAAAATTCAACGACAGCACCTAAAAAACTGGATACCTTACATAACAGCGTCAACATAACTTAAATTGCATCACAAAAACGAACTCGAATTATCACACATTACATTAACTACTCCACGTGATGACGTATGACATCAACGGCATAACATTAAGAAGATCGTACCACAGCATTATATCAAGAAGAGCAGGATCATATCACAACAACACTTCCGACACATCGTCACATTGCATCTCTGCCTTCCTTCCTACTGTATTTCCAGATGCGATGCAGAAAAACACACGCGCTCGCACACACACACACACACACTACACACACATACAAAACACACACATACAAAACACACACATACACACACACACACACACATGTATGTCTGTATAATCATCAGGATATATAATGATGATGCTCATTTCCTTTCATTCAATCCTTTCCATCCTGTATGCAGTTTTAGATTTGGACCAACTCGTTAATTGGCGCTGGTTACATTATATGTTTATGTTTTGATGTGGTTAATGTTGTTATTGTAGTGATTGATGATATTGTTGTTGCGTTGTTGTTGTTGTGTTGTTGTTCCTGTTGTGTTGTTGTTATGATGTTGTTGCAATGACGTTGTTAATGTTGTGTTACTGTTGTATTGTTGCTGTTGTTGGGATATTGTTGCTATGACGTTATTGTTGTGATGTTGGTGGAATGATTTTGTTAGTGATGTTTTTACTATCTTCAATGCTGCAACTGTTGACCACCTCTTACTGTTGGCTAAATTATGGGTTACCAAACTGCAATAGAAAATTTATTTTTTGGTGAAGATAAATGGAAATGGTAATGAGACTGAAATGAATGAATAAATTGTAAAAGTTAACAAGTAATTTATAGGGGTTGGGACAGAATAATGAACAATTTAATTAAAATTTTACAAAAAATTTGTAGGAATGTTAAAATATCTTTAATATAGTTCGTAGAAAATTGAAAATCTCTATGAATATTTTAAAAGTATTCAAGCCAAAATAGAGCAAACTGCGACCTTCCGATGCACTCCACCCAGCCCACCAATCCATTCAATGCCCACAGCAAAAATTTTCTTTTTACGTCTTAAAATATTACTTTTTACAATCCTTACATCTTCAATTCAAACATGCGATTAAAAACTTAATTTAATATCATTCTATTTTTTTCTTGCAATTTTTTTACTTTTTGCTCGTGCGAATTCATTTGAGAAATATCCTTCAATGTTCTTTTCAATGTTGAGTGAACCACTTTTTGTAAGCCAAACATGTGTGCACGAATATAAATTCTTCAATGATTGCAATTTAAAGATGCTTCAGTCAGAGTTATTAATGAAAAAATTGAGGTTTTTATGATACAATTCATAGTGTGATTAATATTTCGATAAATGTTATAGATAAACTTATTTAATGATACGTACATTTTGTTTATAAGTGATTTCAGACTTGAAAAATTTATTAAATGTAGTTTGGTTCATTACAAATTTACCGGCACATTTCAAATAACAATTTTTTTTATTATTTAATCTTTTGGCAAATAGTTTCCTACTTATTTGAATGTGGATGTAAAATTCCTTGTTTAAGTTTATTTCCTGATTGAAATATTTGGGGTGTTGTTTTTCAAGTATATAGTTTTGTTTCGTTTATTTATTGTCTTTTTATTTATAAACATTGGTTCGTTTGTACTTGTCTGTACTGCTATATGTGTTTGTGTGTGTGTATGTTGTGTGTGTGTGTGTGTGTGTGTGTGTGTGTGTGTGTGTGTGTGTGTGTGTGTGTACATGTCCATTGACTCATCGATTGGTATGCATTTTTTATTTCATTGTTTATTTGCACCTTCTTCAGTGTTTATTTACAGCTGACGCAGATCAAAATAAGTCTCGAAACATTATGTGCTTGCTGCTGGGGATATAAATGGAATAATATAAATATTTACGAGCCCCCGCTGACACCCCACCAGCTTATATCAATTGTGTGGTGTGTGTGTTTTTGTATGTTTGTGTGCATTTGTTTGTGTGTTTGTATGTTCGCGCGCGCGCATGTGTGTGTGTGTGTATAGCAACATGGTGTGAAGTGTGAACAACCTGTAAATGATTACACTAAATTAAGGTTTAATTTCAGTAAATGTGAATTAAAATTAGAACAAAATGAGTTACTTGAAAGATTGAAAAACTTCAAATTAATTACCAGTTTTCTGCTTGCTTAATTTAAAGACATCTGTCCGATAGCACAATGGTTAAGAGCGCCTGGATCCGAACTGCAGTGAACGTGTTCAACTGCAAAAAATCCCACCACGTATGTCATGGACGATGTTGGCAACGCGATGAAACTTTTGAGACGTGCAGTGAAAGTAAAAAGTTATTGCCGTGTGGATTGAAAATTTACGGAAACTATTTGATGTTCAACCTGCAGATTGAAATAGAAATTCCTCATTAATATATAAAAATTGTTTACTTATTTACTTCTTTAAATTCATTTCTGGGCATATCTCGGGGGATAATTTACACAATTTATGAAATATTTATCAAAAACAGTCCACTACATCATATCAATCACATCTGCTTGACTTTTTTGGACTTCTTCCTCTCCTTGTCACAGATTGGCACAAATTTTCAATTCCCCCATATAAGGCCTGCCACAATTTTTTAAAAGTTACTATTTTGCTGCTTGCAATTTAAAAAACTTCAAGCAAATTATGAGTGATATTAAGATAAAATGGTTGACAATAGAGAATCAACTGCAGCTAGCAGTAGCCTTGAATGCGAATAAACACGCGCAAAACTTGATGAATAAAATGAATAAAGAGCAAAACGTAAAGCTTTAAGGAAACAAATTTCTTTGATGCGTGCTGATGAACACTTATCAATTATTATAAACACTTCCAACAAAATGTTTGCAACAAAATTTCAATTCATTCATGATTGAGATGACAACCCCTTAAGATGGCGATGATAAGCAGTTAGAGTTTTTAGAGTACGATACTAATACGGTAAAGACTCCGATACAAATAATAAATTAATAAATAAATAAAAGCTTTTTGTTATTTACATGTAAAAATATTTACAAATAACAAACTTGACAAAAAAATTTTCAACATTTTCAACATTTTATATGTAAACATTCATGTTCATTGTAAATAACCTCCTTATGAAATTTGTTATTCTGCGAGATGCAAATATCTGAACTGAGTGCAGCTTCTGAATGCATTAACATTTTTTTTCAACGGTCATCCATGAAATATCAATGAATTTTTGTGATCATCTACGTCGTCGTCGTCATCATCAACAACAACTTAGTCATCATAAAAAACAAAATGTAATGAATAATAAATATATAATAAATAATAAAAATTTAAAAATAATGTTACAATATATAACAGGTTCGCAAAGTTAATGACATATAAGTTAAATGAACTTGTTACTGTTTAGAGCTAAAAAAGTCCTTCAAAGCATCATGTTTTTTTGGCCGCAGGGAACATATACCTTAGGACCAATTTTCTAATGAATTCTCTGCAGGTGTTTAGTGAATGTCATCAAACTGCGCTGATACATAAACAAAGTTTTTTCTTCTTACTGTTATATATGAAAACTTCTTACGAGTTATTTTCAAACGATAATATTATAATTATTTACTGACAACAATAATAGACATTTAGTTTACTTGAACTATCAGTCAAAATTGCGTTTTAATATGTCGAATGTGTCTATTTATCCAAATAAATTATTTTTTTACAATTATACGAATTTATTTGAATTTATTTAACAATAAATGCGTGAATATTTACTTGTATGAACACTCCAAAATTATCCTAATTTTACATTGTTACGAAACCTAACATAATGCCATATATCATCACATATTTTTTTTATCACTTCCTCACATCATCACATTTCCACATCATCACATTTCCTTATCATCACATTTCCACTTTATTTTCTTCACGACCATCAAATCAACTGCGTGCTCTGAATCTCCGAACAAAGATTAGGCATAGATATCTATCACTTGTCAATTTGATTATAAAGATACAAAATATAATCATGTATCATTTGGATTTTCCAGCAACGAAGCGCCGGATTTGTTTTTCCGGATATTAAGCTTTATGTAAGATATGATTTCTTTCATTGCTATATTTTATTTCTCAATAACGTTGAAGTTCATTAGTTAAAAACTATACAAGTTAATAATTTGTAACTGATATGAAATAGCGCTAGTCTATATAAAAGATAATTATATTCGATAATTTGATATAAGATATAATTTAATTCGCTCACATAAGTTAAATCATGCTTATTGCGTTAGGTGTTTGTCACACATCTACAAATACCTAAGGGTACATTCAAAACAACTTAGTACTGGGAGACATGCTTTTACGTCTAGATTTATTTTAATCAATAACTTTTGAAAATATTTTCAACTAGATGAGTAAACTATGCAGTATTAGTAACATGACTTAGCAAAATTTAAACTACTTATTGATAAGAAAGCGTTTTACAGTTATGAAATATAACGCAGAAACAATTCCCACTACCAAGCGATCACACAATAATTCACCACGTACACTCCACACAGACATTGGAATTCCATCTTGCAAATGTTTTTACTTCCACGTAAGTGGTGCAGCAGACAAATGAAAATGTTGTAATGCCAGACAGGTGCCCAGCAAATTGAAAGATTTCCTTTTAATAACATTCAGACTGCCAACTCACAAAAATAATTTGTTTTTATATTTTTTTCTATTCGTATCTTTTGAAAAAAATTCAAAACAGCCTCCAAATCTGAACAAACAAACGAACGAACGAACAAACAAACAAACGAACAAACAAACAAACAAACAAACAAACAAACAAACATACAAACAAAAACAACATTTTAAAAATAGATATTTTTTATGTGAAACAATGATGAAGCTCGCATCTGAGTATGTTGTGCGAGAAGACATCATTGAGCACTTGGCAGCATTCGCGCAATATTTAGCGGAACATACCTGTCTATCATTAATCTTAATCCTGCCGCTGATGTATCTGCCGTTTGTTTCATACGTAACGATTCTGTTTATTCCGGTAGCTTATGTAACAAGATGCAGGTTAAATTAATAGTAGATCAACATTCCTCACACGAAACAGGCTCATGTGTTGTTTCAAGACCATGTTTTGTATGGCTTCCTATGTGACATTAGTCTTGAAATGTGAATAGTTGAAAAATAATTTTGTATCTCTTTTTCGTGGAGGCCGATCTTGGATGTGGAGCCTGCTGCCCCTTACACCCCATCCTGTTTATGCCAACTAAATCTTTTTATCTTTCCTCTTTACTTAATTCCTTATGAGGAGTGAAAAATTATTTAATTAGTTAAATTATCCCTTTTTTTAAAAATCACAGATTTTTTCAATGTTTAAAACATTTATTTGTTAGTTTAAAAAATAAATAGTATTTGAAGTTTTTATTTCATCAAAACAACAAAGTTTCAAGATGTAAACGTCTGGAGGGACAAAAAAGTTTTTAAAAAGTCACCAAATGACGGATGTTGATGAACCAAGAAATACAATTTGCAACTTATGGGGTCATTAAAATCATCATAAGTCTTCCAGTGCATAATCTTTATAAATGATTTAATGCAATTATCACATAATGATGGTAACAAAAATGTCTCCCATCTCGTTATAACTTAATTGAATAAAAGATGAGAAGATGGATTGATCAATCACATTGAAAATTATTTTTACGAGTGAAAATTATTTTTTTAAAGTTTTTTAAATAATAAAAAACGTCATTCATTTTCATTAGCGTAATTTTTTTTTCAATTTATTTACGACTTGGAAGGAACAAAATCTAAACTTTTGAGCGGAATGCCAAAAGATGTACCCGAGTTAATCGTGAGTCCAGACTATGCAGACTGCTTCGTATTGAATTTTGTCGTGTAAACAATTGATGTGCAGTTGAACAAAAAATGGCAATAATTATTATTAAAACCACAAATGAAGAAACAAAAAAATATATGGATAAGAAAGAAGAATAAGGAGGAGGAGAGGCAATTAATTGTTGTTGTTGTTGTTCATATTTAACGGCATTTATGCTCCCAAAGTGGTGCAATTGTTTGCCAAATTAAGAAAAAATTATTTTTTTTTCTCCATGTGGAAAAATAGAAGTTCAGATAATATGAAAAATGTTTATTGCACTGAACGTGGGGAAAGAGAAATACTATGGGAAAATATTTAAATCATATCGTAGTAGTTACAATCCTTCAGAAATTGTATTACATTGATAAAATTATTGTTATTCTTAAAATTCTCTGAAAGCTCTTTGTATATTAAATGTTTATGTCTATGTGTAATTGGGTTCTCGCAAGTTATAATATGTTGGATTGTTAATTTGTGTCCGCAATATTGACATAATGTTTGATCTGACTTATTTAATATATATCCATGTGTTAATTTTGTGTGGCCAATCATTAGTCTGTTTATTTTAGAGGATACCAATCGGGTGTTAAATATTCTGCATCTCTTTTGTTCGATCAGTGGCCTTATTTGCCTTAATTGTGTTATGCAATCATTCCATTCATTTTGCCATAATGTGTATATATATTTATTTATTATTGATTTAATGTCTGAGTAAATCATTGCTGTATTTAGTATGGGTTCATTGTGGGCTGTTAAAGCTAATGATCGGCCTTTTCATTGCCAAGAATACCTATGTGACTTGGTATCCAGATTATTTTAATATGGCAGTTATTTTGTACAATGTTATGAATTTTAATTTTTATTATATTAACAAGGCTATTGTTACTTGTATATTGTTTTAGTGATTGTACACCTGATAAAGAATCAGTCAATATTATAAATGATTTGTTAATTTCACGCCTGCATGTTCTCGTGTTCTTTCGACTCGTGGAACGTGTGCGATCAAGTCGGAGGAAGTTTATTTTTGACTTTTAATTGAGCATTAACAAATTGTTAGGATTCATGCAAATCTAAGATATTTTATAACACAAAAAATTAATTGAATTAAAATTGTTGATCAAATTATATATACATTTTTAACTCTGACTTTGTAATAAATGAAATGAAACAATAAATTTTTGACAATTTTTGTGTAAATATGCAGAAAAAGTATCGTAACGAAACTCTGGTAGCACAATTATAATATACAACATTCATTTATGAGTAAAATAAGACAAATTCTAATGCAAAAAAGCGAAACTTTTTAAAAACAAAAGCAAAAAAAGAGTAACCTTCCGTCTAAATTGCAAACCGCTCAAGTGCAATGAGGTGGGGAAACGTATGTCCTTACTAACCTATGTCAACTACTTCACACTAATGTTTGTGTGTTTGCGTGTGTGTGAATGTGCGCATGTGTGTGTTTTATTAGAACCGACAAACAGTGAAAAAAATTTTCTGGGCCATCAAATATTGTAACATTTAAATTAAAAAAAACTCCCCTTTAAATTCGTGAAATAACAAAAAAAAATTGAAAATCTTCATGACGTATTTCTTTGAATGTGACTCAGTTTATTTCACGCTGCTTCAGAAAAACAAGTGTGTGTGCGTGTGTGTGCTTCATTGAGTGTGTGTGTGTGTTATTGTGTGTGTGTTTGTGTGAATGATTTAACTGATCTGAGTAGTATCAAATAGATTTGATCAGCCTAAAAGTAAAAATACGCCTACAAATTAAAAAAATTCCCAGAAGAGGCACGCAAAACACATCACATTCGAATTTATACATTCTATACATTCTAATTTATTGTCCTTTAAATCACTTACATTTTTTACCGCAATAAAAATTTGTAAATGAAGTTATTTCAACGAATCATGCCAAGCCAAACAAAGCATGTTTTACATCTTCAATTATTCACGAGCTGGTTGCACTAAACAAGAAATTAACCAAATAAAATATGCCTGTCTGAAGGGACCAAAGTTTTTAAGAATTGTTGCTTGTATTTTCTATAGCCACAGATGCAATAGCCACTATTATATTCATGATCTTAATCATTTAAAATAATGTAATACTCCCTAAGTTTTCGAAGCACTTATTGTAAAGAATTTTTAAAAAATCATCATTCATTAGAGTTTAAACACATATAATTAAAAAACAAATAATTAAAAAGGTGAATAGATGTAAATTTTTCCAACTTTATGACAGAATTGGTTCTAACGTTTAACATTTCTTAGCGCAAATGACCACAAGACATTTTTTAAAAAGTTGAACGTTAAGGAATCTAATTTATTAGCCTATTCTTCAAACTACTTGAATAATTTAGAAAACTTCGCATTTATACTACAATTTTTTTGACTCGAATGGCTATTTAGGCGATTTGTTTATTGTTCTGGTTTAAATGGTCATACAACATGTAAGAAGGCACTGTGTGGCTTTGTATCACATATGTCTCCTATTTTCTAAATTCAGTTCATACATTTGTATATATATATATATATATTTGAAAATAAAATAGAAAAAAATAACTCTTTAGCAAACAAAAATCAAAAACTTTTGAATACTAAAAAATCGTTGTGGTGAACTATAAAGAAAGTGATCTCATCAATAAATATCAACAGTGTTCAGCGCTTTCAGAATATAAATTGCAGACATGTAACAAAGACCTGAAAGAACAAATTTTAACTGGCAATGTAAACGGCCTGTAACGAAGAGTGTCAGTATTTCAAATTTCCGATTTTACCTTAATAAGATTAAAATATGACAACAAAACTGTGGTAATATAAATAAAATAAATTTTTATAACATCACTAACATTAATGATCACATCAACAATAATAACAGTACAAACAATGGTTATATAACAATGCAATAATGACAGAGCTTATAAATTTTTTTAGATAAATTCATGAATTTTTTAAATGGTGGATGTCTGAACGTCGGGTGGAATGGAATTTTTCTTTCTGAATGCTTGTAAGTATTTTCAATGAATGCTTACGGAGATAATATATTTCCAATTCAGCGGTCCTTAGAAAATATTTTTAATATAAATTATTTTTTTAGGCCATAACAAGATAGTATAATAATTATCTTATTATTCTTTTCAAATTGCTGAAAATATATGTTTTCGAGTTTTAAAAGTGAAAACACTGATGCGAGTAGTATTAAATGCTTAACTCGTTATTTAAGATTTCGAGAACTGCGCTGTTAATTTAAGAACGTTGAGTATTTAACGAACATTAAACTCTGTGTGCGTCCTTATGTTTCTTGCAATTTCAAATTTAAAGCTCTCAAATTTTAAACAATTTTCCAACTCATCAAAAATGTCAACTTCAAAATGACAAAAACTTAAACACTTTGTTGAAAATGAATTTAATATTTTATTATTTGTTTATTTTGTGATGCCAAAATTTGAAATGAAAATATTTTGAGACGAAATCTTCTTGCGAAACAATTATTTTGGAATTATTTGAGAGATTAACGTACTTCCTGCGTCCAGATTTGAAGTCGCATGCAAACGTTTGCAACGTTATTAAAAACGTCTACGGATGAAATCCCTTTCAAACAGTATACCCTCTGATGAACACGGGCCAATAAATAACATCGATACAACAGTCGCGCGTGCTGTAGCGTAGCACACACATTTTTTCTATAAAGGGACCACCCCGTACGTTTCCGTAGTTACCGTTTATGACGTCATAAAGTTTTGAAGCGCCAAAGAGATTCTTTCGTCTGCATTATGTTGCAGGATGAGATGAGGTTGTTATCAAGCAAGCACTATTACTTCTCATGATGTCCTCCGTTATAACCTCATGTAAGGCGGCATTGTGATGCTATATGTTTTAATGCTGTATGTTTTAACGTTGTTATTGATGATACATGTTTTCATGTTATATATGTGGTATCACTACTTCACTTGTTTTAATGTTACAAAACTCTGAGGTCATATAGTCTAATGTGATATGAGATAATTTTGCCTCTTGATTTCATATGTTATAATGTTCTGATAATGCGATACTAGGTGTGTCAATGTCGTCTACGGCTCTCTCGATATACCGTCACGTTGTCTCTTTTAAAAATGCGGTTATACCAATGGTTTCATAGTACCATTGTGTAACGCTATGCATTAAGATCTTGCTAAACTGTACTATGTGACAATAATTGCTACAAACTCTAAAACCTTCATTTATTTTAGTTTTCTTGAAATGTTGAAAACACTTTCTTTATAGACACCAACACCATCGTTAAAATGAAAATTTATGAGAACC